CCCACCCCTGCCCCCACCCATTCCCACACCTGCCCCCACACCTGCACCCACACCTGCCCCCACACCTGCCCCCACCCCTGCTCCCATACCTGCCCTCATACCTGCTCCCACACCTGCCCCCACCCATTCCCACCCCTGCTCCCACACCTGCCCCCACCCCTGCCCCCACACCTGCCCCCACACCTGTAGACATCACACTGTCCAGCCCTGCAGTCCTCTCCCACTTGGCTGATTTCAGGCTGCACCATTCCACCAAGGTGACCCCAGCTGGTTTGGGGCTTCAGATCCCACTGCTGAGCAGGAGACACGAATGCGTCCCTCTCAGGTTGGCAGCCACCATAGCCCCAGGCATGAGTGCCCACCAAGATATGCAACCTGGCAGGCACCTTGAGAACACCCAGAATGGGTGTCATAACCCACCCCTGCCTGCCGCTTTTGTCTTCACCTTGGGGTGTCACCACCTGCCTCTTCCCCCCCAGCCTGAGCGCTGTCCTCCCCCCGCAGTCCTTCAGTCTGGCCAGTGCCACCTTCAAAAACACCTTGGACCCACCGGGTCCCCTGTCCTCTGTTCAGCCTGCGGTCCCACTCAGCTCTCAGTAGGCTCTGCCCTCTGCTCTGTGCTGCTTGGACACACGTTTGAACCACAGCGTCCCCGTGCTCCCTGAAAGGGCAGTTGTTATTTCTCCTGTGTTTCTAGGATGTCTGCCCCTGTGTAGCCAGGGGTCCAACCTGTCCAGGTTCCATGGGAGCAGAAAGTGCTAGGGACACCTCAAGGCTCATGTGGCTCTGTGGACCCTGAGCCTGGGGCCCCAGCCCACCCTCCCCTCTTCGCCTGGCTCCGGCCCTATGCCCTGCACTCGTCCTGGTGCCCTGAAGCCAGGAAAGGGGCTCTGGGACTGCTGCTTAATGCCGAAGGGATGGTCCTCCCTATGGGGACCAGATTCCGCATGGGAATCATCACACTGGACTTTCTGTGACAAGCATAGAGAGTCATTTCAAAATAAATCAAACCTCAGACATGGTACAGCAGCACATGGAAGGTCCTCCTCCCCTCCCCCACCCCAGGCGGCACCTGCTGCGGCCGTTGTGGGCACTCCGTGCACAACACCGAACAGGCGTTCTGGTCACCTGACTGATCCTGGACTTCAAAGGCCAGGAGTAAGCGAAGACTCTGCACTCTCAAAAAGCAGGAATGGAAAGCCACAGATCTGCCTCATGAAGCAGCTGCCCTGGTGGGAGCGCGTTTACGTCCCGTGTAAGGCTCCGCCAGCACTTTGGTGGGCTGTGGGTTCGTGCCCAGGGAATGTGAGCAAGCCGTCTCTTTGTGAAACCAGAGTGTCCACAGCCCAGGCGCCCTCCCTCCCAGCTGCCTCCCCGCTCCAGGGTGACCACCTATGGGCAGCCCTGATGTCCACCCAGCCCTTTGTGGAGTCATGGTGCCGTGAAGGGTCCTACTGATGGCGCCCAGGGATGGTGCTGGGCCCCCAGTGAGCCTGTTTACGCACAGCACAGCGTGGGGCTCAGCACGCGCCCAGGAGAAGCGCCCAGCCTCATTCTCTGCAGTGGCTCTGAAGCACTCCACAGGAGGGGCGAGGGGGGCTTCCATCTGCTGGTGCCCCCCACACCAGGGACTGGTAGGGGGTCCTTGTGCTTTGCAGGTACAAACAGCACTTTCCCCTGGGGCAGACCCAAGCCACAAAAAGCAGCCAGGGCAATGTGCATGGGAGTATTTGCTGAGACCACACGCAGAGGCTTTTCAGGGGATTTTCCTTACTCAGCCTCGTTGGGGAGGCTGCTAGGACAGGTATCAGGAGGGCCAGTGAGTCGGTCATTTTCCGAGCACGATGGTGACTCAGTGTGCGGGCCCCCAGAGGGAGCAGGGCCCTGTGCCTCTGCCTCCCTCACACGACCCAGCCCTCCCTTGTAATGGGTGCTGAAGAAATGGAAGCCCTCGTTGCCTGTTCAGGCCCTGCCACTGGAGTTTTACCCCACCCCATCCAAGTTGGCCGCCCAGTCCCCCGAGGGGTGAGCCCTGAGCCTCCTGTGGTGAGGTCAGGAAGGTCCAGTGAAGGGTAGGGGGATTCAGTGTGGGGGGATGGGCAGCCGGCTCCGGGAGGGCTTCTGGTGTGAGTTTGGGGCGGGCAGCCCTCTCCCTCAGCTGGAGTTGGTGCTGTCTGGGGGTCCTAGGCCCACCTTCCTCCCACAAGCCTTTGTACTCGCTGGGCCCTAGCTGTTGGTAAGGGCACGGTTGGGGGAAGAAATAGAGGCAGCCCCCCCTGGCGTGCAAGGATCCAGGCCTGGGGTCAGAGTGTGGGCAGGTCTGGAGGACCCTGCCACCCTGCACTGCTGAGGACAGGTGTGAATCTGACAGCCTCCTGCCTCCACCGAGCTGGCTTTGGGGCAGCCAGGCCTCCCAGTGCCAGCACCTCCGGGCTGTTACCTGGATGTCACCTGGGCAAGGCACCTGGAGCCGCGTCTGTGGCATGGAAGGGAACAAGTTAGCGACGCCGCAGCATGTGAGATGTGCGGGCCAGCCAGGCATCTGGGGCAGACCAGTGCTGCACACGCACAGGTGGGATCTGTGCCCGGTGCCCAGCCTGGCGTACAGGCGCCATCGGAAGTGCCCCGTGGGCTGTGTCCTGATGGCTTCGGAGGTAGAAAGTGGGGGATGAGGACCCTGGTGAGGACAGGCAAACTCAGCCGTCACCCCCCTGGCCAGGGTGCTTCACCCACCCCACAGCAGGGCTGGGGGCCAGGGGTGGGCACTGCCTGGGGAGGCCATCCTCAGCGCCAGGCCTGGTCCGCAGGCGGGCTGGAGGGTCGTGGCTTGGGCCCTGCCAAGTGGGTCCCGGCTCCTCTCCAGCATCTGCGCCCGGGGCAGGCGCCCAGGGCCCCCGGCCTCGCGGTTCCTCCCCTCCCCCTGGCGCTACTGTCATTGTTACCGTGGCTCGGCTTCTGCCAGAACAGCCGCAGGACCGCTGGGGGCTCGAACCTTCTCCGCGCGGCGTGCTGGCGGTGCTTTGCGTCGGGAGGTCCTGCCCGCCCTCCCCAGCCCCCAGCCCCGGCTCGCGGCTCCCGGCCATTCCACTGCACGGCGGCGCGGGGAGGGCGCGGCGCGATGAGATGGTTCCGCCCGGCGCCGCCCCCGCCGCCCGCAGCCAGCCCGCCTGCCGCGCCGAGCGCTCCCGCAGGATGGCGCGGGCCAAGCTGCCGCGCTCGCCGTCCGAGGGCAAGGCGGGCCCGGGGGGGCGCCCCAGCCGGCGCCGCGGCCCCCGAGGAGCCGCACGGGCTCAGCCCGCTGCTGCCGGCCCGCGGCGGGGGCTCCGTGGGCAGCGACGTGGGCCAGAGGTAGGGGCGCGCGGGCCTGGGACCCCGCTTGGCAAACCGCGCTTGCATCCTGCTCGGGCTGCGCTGGCTGGGCTGCACCTGCGTTGCCTGCAGCCCGGGGAAGGGGGGACGGCCAGGGTCTCCCCTCCAAGCCCACCACAGCCCCCGCTTCCCGCTGTGTCTCCAGCCTTTGGAGCTTGCGGGACCCCTTCTCCCCCGACTTAGAGGCTGAGCGCGGCGGAGCTCCAGGTGAGGCTGCAGGGGAGGGAGGAAGTGGACCCGGCTATGTGCCAGGCACTGGGGGCCCCTGCCTGCACCCCATCCCACAGTAGCCCCGCTCTTGGTGCACCACTTAGGGGGAGCCAGGGCGGGCATCTGTGTCCCCACCCCAGAGGTGAGTGAGGCTGAAGCCTGCACAGCAGATCGGAGCTGGGACACGGGGCTCAGGCTGCCGGGGAGCCCCGCTGTGGGCCATGCCTGGGCTGGAGTCTGGTGCCTGTGGCAGGTGAGGTGCCAATAGGCTGTCCTCTGGGGATGGCTGGGCAGGTGGAGCAGCGCCTACCCCTCCTCGGCCCTTCCGAAAGCTCAGGGTGGGGCGCAGCACCCCCATTTCACGGATGAGGACACCGAGGCCTCGTCTGCAGCAGTAAATTCCTAGCCAGCACCTTTCCCGTGCCAGGAGCCATTCTGGATGCTGCGGGGGAAATGAGAATGAATCAGACCTGGCCTGGTGTGGGCACAAGTCGTGGGCAGGGAACCTGTGCCTGGGAGAGAGAGGTGCGGGCCAGGCCAGGACAAAAGAACCGCGGCCTCCTGGGGTGCTGGTCCTTCCTGGACGAGCATGGGGAGATGAAGAGGGAGCAGCAAGAGCTGAAGCTTCATCAGGGCTGGGAGGCAGGGCTGGCAGAGCCAGGCCTGGCAGATGGCAAGGCCAAGGGTGCCCAGGAGCCTCTCCCTTGCCCCTCCCACCTGGCCGTGAGCTGTTGGGCACCCCCCCCGCACCCCCATTTCTAGCTCTTCACAGCAGCCCTGGGAGGCACTGCCCAGCTTAGTCCCATTTGCAGAAGAGGCTGTCAAGGCTAAGGTCAACGCCTGGCTGCAGCCTCCTGCAGCTAATGGGCAGCTTCCGCCCGGGAGGCGAGCACTGGTCAAGGCCCTGGGGACCACAGTCCCCTCTCCCTCCTCTTCCTGGACGTTGTGGGGGCCAGTGATCCTGGGAGCCCTATCACAGCCAGCCCTCAAGGGACAGGCTCCTTGCCCCATCCTGTTCCTGCAGAGCCCACAGGGATAGCAGATTCTGCCCGGAGTGCAGTGCAGCATGGGAGCTGCAGCCCAGGGCCACCTCCTCCAGGAAGCCCTCTCCCGTGTTCACCCCAGCCCTGTGGGCTATGCACTGTGCTGAGACTTCTACACGGGTGGCCTCACTCATCCCCCGGCAGACCCTGAAGTGCAGAGTCGTAGCCTCCTTTTGCAGAGCAGAGGTAACTGAGCTGCTACCAACTGGGCCCGCAGCCCCTGGGCCTGGAGGTTCACGTGGCAGGGCGTGCGCCGAGATGAGCAGGGCAGGCTCCCGAGCAGAGGAGGTCTTGGTGGGTTTGCTCTTCAGGAGTATAGATCTCACAGAAAGCTCAGGCCAGGCCAGAGCTGAGAGGTGGGTGTGGTCTGACCCAGGGAGTTTCAGGCCGCAGTGCCCACAGCTGCCCCGTCCTGCAGTGTGCTACCTTCATGGGCCAGCCAGGGTCCAGGCTCCCTCAGCCCTCTCAGCCTCTGCCTGTCCCATTGCTGAGAAGACAGTGGAGCCGAGGAGAGGTCTCCACTGCCCTCCAGGGACTGAGCCACGGCGGGTAGGGGGGGCTGCTCCTGGTGCTGTGTCCAGAGGGTAGGTGCTGCCCCTGCCCAGAGCCCCCATGATACCCTGTGCCCACTCATGGGTGCCACGGGCCAGTGTCTGTCCCTCCTCCTGCACAGTCAAGCTCCCCTGGCTCCGAGCTCCGGGGTCTCCTCCTTCCTTCTCACTCCGTTGTGTGAGGCCGGGGAGGGATTGGGTGCTGGATTGTGACCAGCTCCCAATGTGGTGGGGCCGGAGGCCATCACTGCAGAGCTTTTGAGTAAAAGTGCCCAATGGAGGGACAGGGCCGCTTAGTGAGCCCCCTGCTGGGTGAGGAGGCTCTGGGCAAGCCTCTCCGTGTGCCCACCACCCCCGGACCTAGGTGGCCTCACCCCTCCCAGAGAGGCCCTCCCAGCCTCAGGCCTAACTTAAGGCACCAGCGCAGCCCGCTCCCCTCATCCTCCCCATATCCATCCTCCTCTGCTGGCCTGAAAGCCTGTGGCCCCCACACGGCCTGAGGTCCAGTGTGGCAGGTCCTCCTGCTGCTGTCCCAGCACCCAGTATCTGTGGCAGCCAGACATGTCAGAGTGCAGCTGTGGCACTCGGAGCCCACCCCTGCCCCAGCCCCAAGCCCCTCGCCCTGGTGTTCCTTGGCTGAGGATATGGTCCCCTGAGCATCCCCACCCCGGACACCCTTGCTGGGATCTCCCTCCCCTGCTGACCCAGACCTTCATGGTGGCCCCCTCTCCTCTCCAAGAACGTGGCTGCTCCTCCGTGTCCCCCTTACCCTGGCACACACCCAGCACCCCGCCCTTTCCATGGTGTTCACACTGGCTGGGCACGCCCCTTACCCTGGGTCTGAAGCCCCCTTGGAGCTCACCCCAGCTGCCCTCTCACCCAGAAGGCCCCTCCTGAGTGCGGCCCCGTCCCCTCTGAGGTACTCCCCCACCTGGCTTTGTCCCCATCTGGGCTCCGTACGTTCTTTCCACACAGTGCCCTGTGCTGTTTCTCCCCCACCCTAGAACACACCAGTCTGGGTGGCTGGCTCATCCTTGACCCAGAGCGTATGCAGGGGTGGGGCTGAGTTCCCAGGCCCTCAGGGACACTGGGCCCTGTCTTTCGGGGGTGAGTTTACTGGGCCTGCCCCAGCCTGGGGCTTGCGCCTCATTTACTTTCTCACAGTCCTGGAGGTTGGAGCTCAAGGCGTCGGCAGGACTGGCTCCTCCCCAGGCCCCTCTCCCTGGCTTGTAGAAGCCGTCTTCTCCCTGTGACCTCACCCACCCGTCCCTGTGTGTCGGGGGGAAAGGTAGGGCTAGGCCCAGACCCTTCCGCTGACCACTGCTGCCCTAAGTGGGGCTGAGACCCTCTCCCAGGAGGCAGAGGACGGCTTCAGTGCAGGTTCTGTCACTGTGTTGATGGCAAGCCTGGCGTGGGAGGAGGGTGGGCTCAGGGATGGGCCCTCACCACCTGGTCCCAGCGGCGATAGGGCTGGCAGAGGCGCTGAGTGATGCCCAGGCCACCAGCCTCTGGGACAGGTGACCACCAGAGTCCCACTGGACCAGCGTGGGTATGGGTGCTGCGGATAGAGGTCCAGCGTCCTCAGCTCCCCTCTCCGTCACCACCCCTTGCCCGGCAGTGTACCCGGCGGGGTCTGTGCAGCCGACAGACTTTGTTGACACAGGGCTCCAGTCCTCAGCCGGGGTCTGCACAGGCCAGCGAAGCCCCGGGCCCCTTTGCCCACAGGGGTGGATCCTCTACCCACGTGCTTGGCAGCCCCTCCCAGAGTGAGCGGGATGGCTCTCCTGGGCCTCAGGCTGTGGGACAACTGACAGGTGGTGGCTTCAACACTCAGACAACAGCGCCTTGGGCAGGGTGGATAGGAGGCCCCACGCACAGCTCAGTGGACACTTAGGAATGCAGAGGGACACGGCCAGGGAGCACTGGGGAGAGAGGACACGGTGGAGCCCAGCAGGGCCTGGCCACGCCGGACCTGACCCCACAGGCCAGGCAGACCGGCTGCCATGGGCCCAGGCACTGCCAGGTTCCTGCCAGCCTCTGACACAGCTGTTGCCCTGGCTCAGAGCTTTGGACAGCGCCGGGGCCCGTGAGGGAACTGAGCTGGACACGCAGAATCCGCCAGGAGCTCCCAGCAAACCCAAAGTTCAGCCCCGCTAAGCCTGCGGTTCCGCCTGCTTGGTGCGGAGCTGCTGACCCAGCCGCCGTGCCTGGCTGGGACCTTGGCCCTCCCAGAAGTGTGTCCAGCTTCTGCTTCCCCAGCGACCAGGAGCTGCCAGGGCTCAGGGCACTGGGAGGGGCACCTGCCCACCCAGAGGGCCTAGCATAGGCTTGTGAGCATGTGCCTGTGACCCCAGGCTGGCTCCCTCCTTCCTGCCTGTGTGGCCCCAGAAGACAGTGGTCCTCTCTGAACCTTTGTTTTATTTGCTGAAAAAAAAAATGGTTGTTTTGAGGATTAAAACTTCCCTTTGAAGTCCTTTGAGGAGGAGCTGGCCCAGGACAGGCACACAGTCAGTGCAGGCAAAGACCCTCTGCACCCCACGCTGCCCAGCCCGCCCACAGGCCGGTCCTCCAGAGCACTCAGCTCACCAGCCTCTTCCCTTGAGCTCCGCATCCAGTTGTGACCACCTTGGTGTCAGCCGCCTGCTGGCCAGCCTGGGACAACTGGGGCCAGGATACCCCGGCCCAGCCTGAAGGAGTAGCAGGCGTGTGGTTGCTGGCCCAGTGGAGGGGCCGTGTCCAGTTCCCCCGACAGGCAGCAGCTCTGAGCCCTGGCCTGTCCTGTCGCAGGAAGCCACGGGGCAGGGCTGGAGGGTGCACCCCCCACTGGCCTGTGTGTAGGGCAGGGGAGTGGAGCTACGGGCAGCCTCGCACACCTGAGCCCTGG